GGTCGTGATCTTAAGCTCTTTATCTCGAAAATTACATAATAATCGCAATGCCTAAATTCGAGTGGGGTGAGAGGGTGATTTGGAAATTGCATAATAATCCTAATGCCTAAATCCAATTTACATCGTCCTTCACAAAAATGAAATAAAATGACTTTCATACCCATATCCCATTACCTCTTAGTGGCACGCCTAAAACGATAACTTAAACACATTGGCARTTATTCAACAATAAGATTTTTACATGAGTTCTCGATCAAAAGAGATATTCTCCCTTACTAGATAATAATTATATATGTAAATTATAAGAGGTTTTAAAGTTTTATGGCCGATAATACTTGAGAGTGTGCATCTTATAGTGACAAAACCTCATCTCGACTCACCTTAACATAATTAACAAATTTCTCTAGTTCATACACTTTTGACCTAAAACTTTCGTTTCGACTAAGCAAGTAGATTTCAATGAAGCTAAAGTATATGACAAGTAAAACATACCCTCACGATTCGTATAAGATTTCATAAAGAGAAAAGAGATGAACTCACTTGTAGGATTTAGGAGAAATCCCAATCTTGCAGAATTTACCGGTAGACGAAAAGAACTTGAAAACCATAAAATTTCAACTTAACATCAAGGGCAACAGCCGTAACAGAAATGAAGGAGTGGAGGGTCGGTAATTTGGAAAACAACACAATAGCGTCCGATGTTTACGCAAGGCTAACGAAGAAATGGTTTGACGGTGCCTGCTGTTTGGTGAAGAACTCAGTAACAGCTCAGCCGAGGCTGCTGTTTGCTCGATGTAGTGGTGAAGGACAGGCCAACAATCATGGCTGTTTTGGTGAAACAGTCCTGTAACAGCACCATTGCGGCTGCTGTGGCTGTATGAAGAAAATGGCAAAGAAAGCAAAGCAGTAGCAAATGCTACCTGCTGTTGCTGCTGTTTYCGTAAGGTGAAGGCACAGCAGCGCCTGCTGCTGCCTGAAACTGGCTAAAACGCAGAGAGGCCGAGAGGTGCAAAATGAACGGGGCTGGAGGCACGGTGATGGCGTGGCCGGTACTAAGGTAGGCCTAACAGTCGGTGGTTGCAGCTCTCGAATGAGGATCGATACTCCAGTGGCTTCCACAACTGGGGGGTTTTGCCTTAAATCCAAGAGAAGGAGACGGTTCCCTTTTTCTTTTCTTCCTCCCATCCTTCCCTCCCTCTAAAGACTTATCCTCTCAAAATCAAACCAGTGGTTAAGGACTTCCATGGAAGGGACAGAACCTCTAGGGAAATGATGATTTCAAAAGTACAAGAAGGATAGGACAACCCAAAAGGTAGCAGGTACCCCCCTTCCCCTCCCCCCCCCCTTTTTTTACTCTACAGATTTCAAAAGAAGGCTTACCTTAAAGTTTATCTATAAAAGTATGCTCATATTTATATATGCATAAAATACTTAATAAAGAAAGATTTAAAAGAATTAGGGTGACTAAAGCTCTAAATAGGTGGATGAAAACGCATACCTCACTAACGGGACGAAAACCCTTGATNCTTAATAAAGAAAGATTTAAAAGAATTAGGGTGACTAAAGCTCTAAATAGGTGGATGAAAACGCATACCTCACTAACGGGACGAAAACCCTTGATGCGCACGGAGCAGGGAAAAGGGAAAGATATTCGGGTGTTACATGCTTCAAGGTTGAGGTTGGGATGTGTTTTGATGCAAAGAGGAAAGGTAATTTCTTATGCGTCAWGGCAATTGAAAGATCATGAGAAACAGTATCCAACCCATGATATGGAATTAGCTGCAGTGGCGTTTGCTCTGAAAATCTGGAGACATTATCTTATGGGAACAAAGTGTTAGATTTATACTGATCAAAAAGTTTGCAACATTTGTTCAGCCAGAAAGAATTGAATATGCGACAGCATCGCTGGATTGAACTGGTAAATGACCATGATTGTGAAATTCTCTACCACCCGGGAAAAGCCAACGTGGTAGTTGACGCTCTAAGCAGAAAAGAAAAGGGCGGAACCATTAAAGCTATAGCAATGGGAATAAACTTGATCCCTGATATTCGTAAAAAAATTCAAAGATGTCAACAAGAAGCTATGAAAGAAGAATTTGTTAAAACAGAAAGGTTAGGTAAGATAATCTTAACCTTGGAATCAAACGATGAAAGACTAATGTGCTTTCAAGGACGAGTCTAGGTACCGTGTTTTGGAGATATCCGGAACACTATATTAAATGAAAGTCATAAGTCCCGATACTCTATTCATCCAGGTACCAATAAGATGTACAGAGATTTAAAATCTTTTTATTGGTGGCCCGGATTGAAGAGAGACATAGCCAGTTATGTGGAACAGTGTCTAACATGTCTACAGGTTAAGATTAAACATCAAAAGCCATATGGAAGCCTTCAATCTTTGGAAATACCTGTTTGGAAATGGGATCACATTACAATGGATTTCATCATGAAATTACCTCGAACTCCAAAGGGGTATGACGCAATCTGGATAATTGTGGATCGTCTATCTAAATCTACGCATTTTCTACCAATAAGAGAGAACTACTCATTAGAAAAGCTGGCACAGATTTATATCAAAGAAATATTGACTAGAAACGGTGTTCCATTATCCATTATCTCTGATAGAGATAGTCGGTTTACTTCAAAGTTTTGAGAAGGTTTGCAAAAAGCTTTGGGGTCTGAAATCCGACTAAGCACATCTTATCATCTGCAAACTAACGGACAAAGTGAAAGAACTATCCAGACTCTCGAAGACATGTTGAGAAGTTGTATTATTGACTTCGAGGGATCGTGGGAAGATCATTTGCCGTTGATAGAGTTTGCATATAATAATAGTTACATTCCAGCATCCAAGCGGCACCGTATGAAGTATTGTATGGACGTAAATGTCGAACGCCGTTATGTTGGAACAAAGTAGGAGAAAGGCAGTTGACGGGTCCTGAGATTGTTCAAGAAACTTTTGAAAAGATTAAACAAATCCGCGAAAGAATCAGAACAACACAAGATTACCAGAAAAGTTATGCTGATAATCGTTGAAAGCCGATTGAATTTTGTGTAGGTGATTTTGTGATGTTGAAAGTTTCGCCGTGGAAAGGTGTCATCAGACTCGGAAAGAAAGGTAAGCTCAATCCAAGGTATGTTGGACCATTCAGAATTTGTAAGCGAATTGGGCCAGTGGCATATCAGTTAGAGCTACCAGAAGAACTAAGTCTGATTCACAACACTTTCCACGTATCGAACTTGCGGAAATGTTTAATTGATCCAAGTCTCGTTGTACCGTTGCCAGAAATCAAACTGGATAGTAAGCTGAACTTTATGGAAACACCGAAAGCCGTAATTGACCGAAAGATCAGGGTGTTGAGAAACAAAGAGATCAGTCTGGTTAAAGTTCAGTGGAAGTTTCACAAAGGACCAGAAGCGACAT